CTTTTCTCGTGCAATTTTTTTTCTTTTTTTTTTACACATGTATACGTATGCGCGCACGTATCGCGTTGACCGATGATCAATGAGGTCACAAGCGGAAATGAAAATATAGCTGTTTGGCAAGCGCGGTGCAATTAATTTTTTTATGATTGTTCATTTCGTTTCCACCTAATCAATTTTTAACACCAATACCTTTGTTTACATATTTTTATTTTTTTTTATCGCAAGCTGTTTTATGCGTTGATGAAAAGGATCATTGGGCTTTATAAATACAGACTTTATAAATACAGATTTTACAAATACTCGTTAAACTTTTTTGGTTACGTAAACCGTGCTAAAACTAACAGCCGATTAGTAATTCCATTATAGCGTGTTTCTCGGTCGTTTTTTTTTAAACGACTTTGCACGGATGAATTCGCCGAATTTTTTCTAAAGCGAATATACATCCTTCGCAAGTTTCTAACGAGATATAAATCTTTGAATTAGTCCAACTCTTTATAATGTTTTTCGACGACGAATTTGACTTGACGAGCGATAAAAATCCCTGAAGAAAATCTTGGTCGTGACGCGTCTCGCTCTTGAATGCGGCATCGCGAATCATTCGCGCGTCGCTCGTGGGGTGCGTGTAAGCGCACGCAAGTCCATATACTTGGACGCGTGCTTCCGTACGAATACGAGATTCATAATGCGTGCGGTACGAGAGAACCGCGAGATGCGACGCGCTCTCTTTCCTCCACGTCCCTTTTTCTCTCCTCTCTTCCGCACGCGAGGGGAGAGAGTGGGGGACACGCTCGTATTCACCCCTTCTACACCCGTGGCAACAACATCACTGCGATGGTCCATGGTCGCGCAGCGATCAATGCCATCGTCGGGCCCCTCTATGCTTCGTCCCCACCGTGCTTGCCGGTCGTCATGACGACAGCATCCCCACCGACCCCTCCAGGAGCAACGTGGTGTCCTTGGTGGGGCACCTGGGTAGCCGCGAAAGGGGTGACATCCTCGTCTCCCCCGCCCTTTCCTCTCCCCACAAACCCCTCTATCACCGCCGCAGGGAGGAATTCCTAGGGAGACGACCAGGGGATTTTGACCCTCCACCCCCTGCACCATCTCTCTCTCTCGCTATCTCTCTCCCCCTGTTTATCCTTCTCTCTCTCTCCTTCTCCTTCTCCCTCCCTCCCTCCCTCTCTCTCTCTCTCTCTCTCTCTCTCTCTCTCTCTCTCTCTCTTTCATCTATATGTCTATCTGCGTGTCTCTGCGCTCGGCCACCCGCACGCATTACACGTACGTGCAGCGGAGGTCAGGTAGGTCGCTCCAGGTGACTCGGCCCTGACACCATATCGCCGGCCACCACCGGCCGATTCGTTGATTAGATTATCGGTCGGCGATCAACGCGACCGATATCGTTGCATAGCGCTGTACGTTGAAACTTTTACATCTCTGACTTTTACGGCTCATTTTGACGACTAAATACTGTTTATCGTCTTGGGATGGTTGAAATTATTCGCGAGGAAAACTATGCTTTATGCGATTATGAACTCGGCTATATTCCGCCCTGCGACTTGACTGTTTCCACTGAATTATGTAACATTCTAAAAGGACTGAAATGTGAGAAATTAAATGAGGAAATTAATTCCCCCAGAGTTGTCTTTCCGCTTGTAACATATATTTTATAAACTAATCGTATTTATATAAATTTTATTTTATAAATGTCTGAAAAAGATAAACGGAGATTATTGGATGACTTTTTCAAGTCATCTGACAATGTTGCTTATCGGATGTTGTTTACGATAGATATTTAAATTTCTTGATTATTTAACTTATGAAAGAATGGGAAGATAATTCAGTTACCGATGCCAATAGACAATTAAGCATTTATCAAGGGTCAGGTGGCTCCTAGTAAATAATCGTACAATACGCGGTTGTTACATTGCGCTTGATACAGTCATGTTTCCACGGTCGCTAGTTGGATTATATGTATCTGGTGTGTCGGAGTATGGATTTGCCACGCGTTGATTAATTCTCGACTGTTCAAGCCGCTCTCTCAAATTGAATTCCAACAATCTTGGCTCTTTAATCGTAACGCGATAGCGTCATTTAGAATCGCGTAGCAATATCTCTATCAAAAATATCAATAAACATTTGTAAAATTAGAATAAGCGAGAACAATTACACGAAGCTCGTCGAAAAAGAGCAAAGAGTCCGGCAAAATTATTTATTAATACGTTGCGCACATTTCTTAGACTTAATAAAATGTAAAATTTATATGAAAAAAAGAGAAAATGATTCACTCGCATTTTTCAATCTTTCAATATTGAAGTAAAAAATGAATCACTCTGGACATATGTGGGACACAAAGCGAGATGATAAGGCAGCGAAAGACGGGAGGGGAAGAAGAGTCCGATCCGACTCTCTAAATCGAGTTATGCGGCCTGCTGGAGATAATGATATTTATGCGCGTCAAGTGTATGATGTGTAGTCCGCCACACATGAATTACGAGTAGGCCGTAGAAGAACAAGGAGAAATAAAAGCGCGGAAAGTTCGAATGTGTCTGCCCGAGAATATCCCGAGAGATTCGTATCCTCGCGCGTGCGTGTCCTTTCGTGAAAGCGCGATTTCCAAAGTTTCGCACATTTTTAATGTCGTCGCAAATGATTTACGAATGGACGACATATACATCGAGATTTATATAAATTCTTTTTTTGGGGGATTCATTCGTTTGTCCTTTCGATTACTGAAGGATAAATAAATTCGGATGATTAACCCTATGTTCCTCGGAGTACAAATTACAGACAACAGGGTTTATAAATTATATCATCGCGCATGTAAATATGATAAAATGTTACAATTATTTAATGAGTTGCTCCGGCGCGTTGCAGAGAAATTAATACATCAATGACACAATAATTAACGCAAATAAACGCGAGCGAGGTAAAAAGACGAATCCGCAAACTATTTCAATTACCGCACATCGCGAGCACGCCGTAATATCTACATTCGGGTACGCAAAGTCCGTATTCACAGAGAGCATTCAATGCGCTCGTTGAATAAGTCCGACTATACGTCAAACCTCTGAAAATTAAGGGAAAGAAATTTATCCTTAGATAAGATCCTTAGTCGCGGAAAATTACGTGATAAAAGAAACTTGCAAATTTCAATATTTTACTTCTAATATTCCGGAGAGCGAAGAAAATTGAAGGGCACCCCCGATCGCGTTGTTAATAAAAACGGAAGCGCTTCCATTCGTCGCGCTGCGCTTTTGAGGTGGTGCATCGCGCGAGAGCGCGTAAATATTTATCGTGGATAATCCGAGTATACAGGCGTCTATTACAGCCGCCCTTCGTCGTCGCTGCCCCTCGGGCGGCGGGTTTGACCCCGAGGGACATTCCTGGCGTGACACGTAAGGTCTTTCTCTCTCTCTCTCTCTCTGTCTCTCTTTTTCTCCCTCTTCCGCATCCGCTCCAGCTTGCTATCCGAGAAAGAGACAGAGAGAAAGAGAGAGAGAGAGAAAGCGTAGAAAAGCTTCGTCCGGTGAGCCGCGCGGGATTTTGAGCCACGAAGTTTTCGCATTGTCATTTGGGACGCAACGCAAAGGGGGCTGAGGGGGAAAGGAGGATCTGCGCGAGCGAGAGACACGCGGAAGGGCGACGTTGAGGGGTTGAAAGGGCAGACGGGGAGCGAGAGAGCAAGACCTGGAGGCGAGAGGAGGACGAGCGAGCAGAGGAGGAAGAGAAATAAATGAAGAAAGAGACAGAGAGAGGGAGGGGGGAAAGAGAGAGAGAGAGAGAGAGAGAGAGAGCGATAAACGGATGCAACGAAAGAGCGACGAAGAAATGGTGGAGATGAAGAGGGAGAGGGAAAGAAAGTTAGGAAGCGCAAGGAGCGATAGTTTATTAATAATGCGAAATAACGTTTCCCCGAACTTTATTAAGTTTTGCGTAAACGCGAATCCACGTTGCTACGTGATTGAAGTCTATCGCGAGTTCATTGTGTCGTTTAAAAACGTACATTTTAATGTAATACGTGCGAAATAATTTCCAGCAAAATAATGCAAAGCACGTGCGCAAACAGAAATAAGCGATGCTCTTGACAGATAGATTGTTTTGATACAATTGAAGCGTCAAACGCCAATAGTAGCTTTTTGATACTACGATATATCGCAAATAACTGATAGGTTCAAGTAATATGATATACTGTAATAAGCCATATAATGTTACACGTCGATAAAGGGCTCGAACAACGTTCGCTTTAGATAATTAATAAGGTAAAACGAGAGAGAAAAGAGAGCAAAAGAAAGAGCGAGGGGAAAAAACGAGTTCACGAGATCCTGACACAAGAGCCACGAAAATCTCGCTTTCCGCTTCTAAACTTACCCTGTAATCACAATATTATTGTGCTTGGCAGTTAAAGTCATATATAGCGCGGGGAATAAATACACGTCTCGTCAATATTGTTTGGATAACAAGAGCCGTTTGAAGAAGCGGCAATAGCGAGGAGGTTCTCGCAACGTGAAGATTCCCGACGACATAGAAATCTATAGGCGAGCATAAATAAACGCGACACACGCGCAAAATTGGCGCGAATAAAAATAATGAAAATGAGAATAGCGATGTGGCACGCGAGAACCAGAGCGACTATGATAATGAAAGTCATCTTAACAAACGTCAGTTGCAAAAAAGGAGCAGCCACGCGAGAGGGAGAGAGACGGCGAAAGAACACACGGAGAGACAGGCCGAGGGAGATAGATGGCGAACAGGGGCGAGAATGCGCGGTCTCCCTCCTGTCCCCCCCGCCCTCCCCGCCTTTCTCGAGGGCGAGAAAGGACGCGAGGGGAATTCTGGATCCTCTCGGTGGACCACCACAGGATCCACATCCCCACGGCGCTGCCTCGCGCGCAGCAGCCGCCGCCGTGGTGGGGGAACGTCAGGGGAACGTTAGAGGGGTGGGGGGGCTATATAAGGCCGGCGCGAGGGGGGGAGAGCTCAGTTCGTCCAAGAGGAGCGTATCGGTTACATTGTATCGGGTGACACGATCGGGTGCGATCATACTCGGCGGCGACGACGAGGCGCATCTTGTACTCGCGGGCCGCACACGAGACGCAGTTATCTCTCGTTGAACGAGAAGCGAGCAGGAAACGGCGGGGACTTTAGAGGACTCGGACGTGTGTTGCCGTGGGAAGACCGCGGACCTTGGAAGCTACGAAATGTAAGTAGCGCACATCTCTCTCCTTGTTAGTAGATCGAGAAAGAGAGAGACGGAGAGATGGAGACGAGCGGATCTCTCTTGGCCGGTGGATGACGGATCATCGATGACGTGCTCCCATTATCGTCGTCCCGGAGAGGAGAGACGTGCGTATTATCGATCGACCGAGATGGATCGCCGTTTTGGACGAGTCGCGAATAGTGTGAGCCGAGAGTTGTGACGTCACAACCGGCGTCCGGACTCGACGCGGTGCCGACGAATCTCTCGTTTTCCGGTGTTAGTGATGTCGGTCAGGATTTTCGTTGGGCAAAAAAAACGAACAAGCTCCAAGCTCGCTTTCTCTCTCTCTCTCTCTTTCTCTCTCTTCGTCTCGCCGGCTATTCGCGTCTCCGTCTCTCTCGTTCTCTAACCTCACTCTCGTGTTCCTTCGTCTCTCTCTCTTTCTCTCTCTCTTTCCCACTATATCTCCCTAGTTACAGCGTAGCCATATTCGAGCATGTTCATTACGAATACGGCACGTATTATCTTGTTGCGGCTTAATATTCTCTAAAGCTTACATCGCGCACAGTTACACACAGCTGTAACAAAATTCTCCCCTTTGTCTCCTCTCTTTTTGTTTCGTCGCTCCATTTTTTATATTTTAGCTGTAGTATTTTCCGATGGATTTTGCTTATATTTTTCTCTATGTATGTATATATTGTATGATATATACATATATATATATATATATATATATATATATATATATATACGCATACAACACACACAGCACTTACATCATGAAATTTCTCTCTCGTTCGCTCTCTGTCTCTTTCTCTCTCTCTCTCTCGCTGGCGCGGCGATTCGATTGGACGCGTGAACTCTCTTCGCGAGACGGCCGAGATTACTCGCGAAATTCGATTTCATTGGGAAACCGCCGCGCCGCGGGGGAGTCGCGCCATCAGCAGCCGCCCTCCACGTTTACGTCCGTACAGATTAATTAAGCGATCGATGCTTCTGGAACACGTGAAATTTGCATTAGCCGGCGAGCGAAAGGCGCGTTTGATCCGCCACACGAGGGCGAGAGAGGAGGGGGAGGGGGAATGGAACGCACGATCGAGAGTATTGCCGATGGCAGGGGGAGGGCAGGGGGTGCTTACGCGTCTCGAATCTCTTTCTAGCCCTATTGTTTTTTTTTTTTAAATTCTCGGATTCTTATTATCGCGTAATCGCAAGCGTATCTTCCACAAATAAAGTCCGATTAATTAAGTTTCAATGTAAAGTCTAATGAATTAAATGTCAAAATCGCGGCCGGAAGGACAAGTAAAAAAAGAAAATAATTATTTAATATAGTTTTATTTAATGTCATTTATATTTTCCTTGTTTTTTCTTACACGAGAAGAGAATTAACTCTACCAAGATTTATTTACTCGGCACATTTTTGTAGATAAGTTTGACTCTTGCCATTTGTGTCAGGTCGATAATTTATAAATAATCGAACCGGTTATATATAACTGATTATATGTCAAAAAAGTTAATTCTCTAGAGTGAATTATTAATAGAGCACGTGCCAGAAATTATCCCCGATTTAATTTAATTGTTCCTAAAATCATAAAGAGGTTAACGATAATCGATGGATTAAAATAAAGCATCCAACTCGAAAATTTACTTGATTATCCAGCAAGTAAGGTACATTATTTGAATGAAAATTCACTCAAACGATATCGCAGCTTAAACAAAACAAGCTTACACAATCAACAACAATCTCATTTAAATAAATTCAAATTTTGCTATCTAACAATAAGTTTATCTTATTCGTAGCATTAATTTAAGATCATTAGAAAATTATCGACAAATTATATCTGCTCATCTGCTTGGTGTGCATTTTTAATTAGATAATTAAATTCTCGAGAGAGAGAGAGAGAGAGAGAGAGAGAGAGAGAGAGAGAGAATTATATATTTATATATCTGGTGAAAATATACAAAATATGCTCTCAAAAAATCAGTGTAACGAGTAAGAAAATAAACTCGGTAAATCTCGAGATGGATCGCAAACGCGTCATTTCGCATTCTTACAACGTGGAACGCGTGGAAATGTTGCAACACTATCGTGAGATAGAATTAACGGCAGCGAGATTAATGATTATACTCTTAATCGAGTTAAATACCCGTACATGTGGCGGCCTTTGTAACAGACCCTTTATGCGCATTGTATATATTCGGCGGATAAACTCGAGCGAATACAATTCTGTTGCGCGAAACGACCGAAATGAGATCGATTCATTGCTTTTGAAGATTACATCTCGCTTTCGCGTCGGAAAAACGAGCAACGTCGTCTCCCACATTATTCCGTAAATTAATAGCGCGCGGTCGCGTTTTTTTTTTTTTTTTTTTTCACGCGTGTCCTTTGATCTAAGGTACGCGAAAATCTGCATAACGAAATGGAGTGCACGTCGCTATAACGTTATTCGACCGAGACGAGATTTCTCATCGTCGAGAGACAATATAGCGTGAAAAGTTTGAAAACGGTAGTGACAAAAATTGCGCGTGCAAAATACGTAGAATCTCGAGAAAACAAAAAGATACATCGATGCTAAACGAGAATATCTTTTTTCAAGATTTCACCTCCTGCCCTTTAATTTTAATTGACTCTTTCATCTCTACGCGGGGAGTTATTTAACATCAAACATTGAACAATTTATAATAAGCTCTCACCCCCCCCCCTCCCTCGCGTATAACCTTCCATGCGAAATTTAACGCGCGCGCCCGAGAGGGAGGGAGAGAAAGAGAGATACGTATTTATTCCGAAAAACAGAATAATATATTTCGAACGCGAAACATTTCAACGGTGACGTTGCAACGCGACGCATTCGGGCCGAAGTCGCGTTAAGTACTCGCGAGGCGCGTTACACCCCCCCGCTAAATTAATTCAGGCCGCTTTGGTGCTGAAAGTTTTCTGGCCGTCGTCGCCGCGAGTGCGCCACGCAGCAAATCGCATTTACATGATATTTTCCGGCGTAATTTACATGTTTGAGTCCCGGGACACCACCACTCGAAAATGCGTCGGCCACCCTCTCTCTCCTCCACCTGTCTCTTTTCTCTTCTCCTTCTTGCCGTCCTTTATTTTTATTTACACGCTCTTTTGACCGGAGGAAATTTTTTGCAAATTTTCCGTCGCGTTTTCGCGAGGGTGGCTTAACAGAAGTATCTCATTGCGCTGGATCACGCTGAACTCACCTTAATCCTTTTAACCTATCAACACACTCGGAACCTTTTACGTTGCACGGAGATATCTTCGCGCTCGCAATCCCATTAAATCCCTTCATCCGGTAGCGCTCGGAATGCGCTGACTTTAACGGCGAAGAGATAATCTTCCATCGGCTAACATAATGTATCCTTCCGCTGATTTAAGCGAAACTTAGTCGAGCGCAAGTTCGCGCGAGTCGGAAATACCAAAAGCTCGAGATTGACGGGCACCGTGATTCTCTACCTCTCTGTAGTACACCTATAAAATTGAAATCTATACCGAAAAGACTCTCTTTCAACGTCACTTCTCCCAAACATCTTATTTACACGATCAAAAATAATTAGGAGAAATATAAAATTGCACAAGTGGTTTGCACAAGTTCTAAAAATTCAACGACGTCCTTTATCATAAAGGATTTTAATGGAACTTGTTAATTATTTCACCCTGAATAAGTAATTATTATTAACATCGCGCGAAAATATCTCGGTTATGATTTTCCCTTGGAATTTCCGGCAAATTTTTTCAGAGATAATAATGATGAAAAAGAATTTTTGTGGCTGCGTGAAAGAATCGAGAGAAAAATAGGACGCGACTTCGTCTCTCCCTCTCTCTCTCTCTCCCCCCCTAAAACAGAAAGAATCTCGTCGCGTTTGTGACGTGCTTGAATCACTGTCGCGAGGCGAGGGGAAAAGTGGATGAAAGGTATCAGACGCGGCGGCAAGTTTTCATTTCGCCGTATGCATCATCACAATGTGATTGAATCGATGCGGCCGGGATACAGGCTGTCTGCGCGGTGTGAATATTTAATGAACGTTGCCGTTAATGAGGCTCGGCCATATTAGTATTAATTAACGTCGGGACGCCTGGCGCTTTCACCATGAGCGAGCGAATAAAAACACTAAATTAAAATAGACAACGAGGCCGGTGTGTCGATATAACCGATCATTAGCTATTTATCACGAGCCACGTGTTATCATTAATTCGCAAATGTAAATGTATCCTTATATCGGATCAAGCTGCGTGTGTTTGTCAATCGAAGTGATAGAGGTACATCGCGTCGTTTGTCGTTACACTTAGTATCTTTTCAAGCACACATTTGTATCAAATATAATATTCATATCTGTTCTCAGATAAATAAACAAATAAAAATTGGCATAAGAGTCATTTTGATTTAATTTTGATTTAATTCTGATTTATTTATTTGAGCCAAATTCCTAATTATTAAATAAACTTTTATCATATTTAGAAAATATATTCAAATAATATAATCTATAATAAAATCTCGAGAGAAATCGATAAGAGAACGCTCGTTTTACGCCTATCTCTAGATAGGCTAGATCTATAAAAAACGGATTGTCGAATAGATTGTACATACTTTTGAAGAATTCGTGCCATCAATCTCTCCTTTGTCAGGCGATTTCATGGTTCTTTCGAGAAGTTCGGATAAACTCGATCCCGTGCATTTGATCGGTGCGGTGCGTCGAATTCTTTGTCGGATTCCAGTAAATTCGGTACTGAAACTGTTCACTCTTGCAATGATCTTTTGTGCGACATTCCGGAAATTCAACCGTATTTTTTCATTTACTACAGTATTTGCAAATACTGCAGTATTTGCAAATACTGTAGTAAATGAAAAATTGGCATATAGTTAAACAATTTGTATAGATAACGTTTAAGTAGCTTTTAATTATACGATGATATATTAATACAGATATTTGAATTAATAAAGTGACTTTTGTTATTTTAACATTTAAAAAAATTAAAATAACAGTAATCA